TCCAACTACTTTTAAAGGCAGCATAGCAGACAGACCTTTGTGCTGGTTTCACCATTCTCTTGTTTTGTAGAAAAGGATTCAGATAAAGTGAAAAAAAGTATTTTTGGTAAATTCTATTAAAGAATTCAAAGTGGAAAATATGAATAAAGCTAAGTTTATGTGAGTCAGGTTCTGCATATTTATTTACCAACAGCAATGCTTACACCACTAAAGTAGCATTAAAAATACTTTCTTTTCTGTTTCCCGCTGAAAGTTTAATCCTATCCTAAGAGACTGAATGTGGAGCTCCAGCGTACAATTGTCAAACAGAAGGTACAGATTTCCACAGATTTAAGAACACAAACAGTCCCTGCAATCATTATGATTCACGAGAGAGACACAGGTAACAATAGTCATATGCAATCAAGAAAACACAACTGTTCATTGTAAAGCCAATTTTCAAAAATAACCTAAGCAATTAGCAGCTGGTTAGTTTGTGCCCAATTATTTCTCTAAAGGTCTAGAAAGAAAGCAAATATGGAAACACCAAAAATAAAGGGACCTTTATGTGAACAATTTTTTTAAACGTTTTAATCAATCCAACGAACAACTGAAAATAAAGGAAGTGCCCACAACAGCCATATATGCCCTGCAAAAAAGGTTTTGTTCCCATAACGTTTTCTTTATTTTGCTTATTTCTGAGCTTAAATGTTTAAGATCACTAAGAACATGTTAAAGCCAGACAATGCAGCTTTAAAGTGATGATTTATTTTATTTGAAGGGTAAATATATATTAAATCAGCCTGAACCTGCGTAAGAAAAAGTAATTAGTCCCGAAATCCAATAACAAGTTGATGCCATGAAGTGTTTGCAAGAATTGGTTCATTTAGATACTAGTAACTGATGCTAAACTCAAAAATTCGGTTAATCACAGTCATCATATTAAAAGTCTAATATTGGTTAAAATATTTAAAAATTACATTTTCACCTGTTTTTTTTAATACCGCAATCTTAAACTGAAAACCACTTCATTCAAACACTTTGGTTAATGTTATGTCCTATATTAAAAACCCTTTGATTATCTGAAACATTCAGGTTTAAGAAAAAAAAAAAATCAGAATGAATGTCCTTACTTTTTCAGTGCATGTGTAGGTTTAGCTGTATATGAGGGTGTGCTGGCCACTGAGTCTTGACCAGTGAGTCTGACAGATGGTGTTATATGTCAAGTAGGTCTGACCTGCTGAATCCAGGGGCCAGAGACATTTAGAAGGAAACAAACCCACAGAAAACCTGCACAGCAATGCAGTGGCACACAAGGACAAAGAGGAGTAGGTAAACAGTCGACTCCTCACATCTAGATTTCTCCTTGAAAATCTCCTCAACCTGTCTACCAGTTTTAGTTCCGACACATCAAAGTCAATGTTACTGTCAAAATGTCAAAATGAAAAACAACAACAACACACATAAGCTATGAAATGAAGACAAGAGATATATTGCTATAAAAAAAAAGAAAACTCTGACTCCTATTCCTATTGTAAATATCAGAGACTGCTGTACCAGGTCTGCTTCACATTAAGTACTGTTCTGATTTTTGTAATCTCATACAGCTAATTAACCAGTGATGGTATTTATTTAAAGGACTGAACTACAATAATCAACACGAGGACTCCATTCCAGCATGTAAATGAGCCACATTTAGCCTTACAGGCAAAATTGTATGCATGGTCTTTGGCTGATGTTATAAAAGCCACGTCATTAATAGAATAAAGCACAAGCTGAACAAAATAGAAGTACTGTACATGGCTCTATCAATCAATCTGAAGCAGCATAAACAAATATATAATTACTCATGTAAATAGAGTCTATGTGATTTCAAAACAAGAATTGTTTAAAACTTAAAAAAAAAAAAGGTTTTTTAGGTTCTAATGATTTATGAAATCCAGACGCATGAAAACACAGTGGAGGACTGAGAACCAGCGATGACCAGTGAGACAAAGAGAACAATAAAAACCATCACTGTTTTCAGGTCGTTTATTATGTGGTTCTCAAGAGAGGCCGATAAAGCCAACAGATTTCCAAATATGATTCCTGATTAAAAAGCAGGGAAATAAGAAGCCTTTAAGGCTGATTAAATATTTTAAATATTTGATCATTTGCTAAAAATGTTCAGTCCAATTTCATAAAACTTCACACTTTATTTTAAAACCTCAAAATCTCTTTCTGTATTTTACTCTTTTTATAACATCTCTGTAATATAACTGCCTAAACAGTTTTATGCTACAGTAGTACCATTATTAATTTATATAAATACCCATCTATATATAAACCCATGTAAACACCCTGTGCAATAACCCAGTATAATAATCCTGCTATATATATATATATAAAGCTGTCATATGAAGACGCACTGTATATACTCTACATATCCCATGAACCATTTTCTTACTTTGGCACCTTCTTCTTTTCTTTTTGACTATTTGAGCTGATGTAACAAGTACATTTCTCCACTGAGATCAATCAATCAATCAATCAATCAATCAATCAATCAATCAATCAATCAATCAATCAATCAATCAATCAATCAATCAATTAATCAATCATTTGGGATCTGGATTCTTTTTATTCTGGGTGCTAGCTTCCAAATACTCTCAAAGTTAAAAAAGTCCTGCTACCTCATCAGTATGCTCTACTTTCACACCAAACCATGTTTCTGTGCTCAGATTTAAATGTGTCTTCCTAAATCCTCTCCCCTCCATTTTGCACTTGCCTCATTGTAATGAAAAGTCTTAAACTTTCCTTCTCAGTTCGCTCTATATGCAAAGGGTTCTGTCTTCTCTCTGTTGTACTAAAGAGGGAGTCTTACCTTGTAAGGATCACAGCTAACAGTCTGTGTGATTTACAGTAAAGTGTGACTCCTTTGATGTTTCAGAACAGATTTATTCTTAGATGATTGGTTCAAATAGTACACTGACCACCTGGAGCAACAGGTGTTGTAGTTATTTAAGAAAGTATTTTGTATTTGCACTTTTGTTTAAAATCTACACATGTGTAGCTTTACAGACAAAAAAAAAAGTTTTTATTTACAGGAGTTATGTTGTTTTTGTTGTTGTTATGTTGTTGTCTGTAGAGTTCACTGTAATTTACCACTAACCTGTAACTGAGTGCAGGAAAATAGAGTCCAGTCTCCTTCTGGGTAATTAAGACATACACCCTTTTTAAGCGTTTTGATAAATCTTATAGTTAGAGTGGCTCAGGTTATCCTGAGCTATGTCTATAGTTATGCTGCTATAGGCTTAGACTGCTGGAGGAGATAGGGATCCCTTTTTCATCCTTCTGCTTCATTTTATCTCTATTCTCCCACTCTGCAGAATGTGTTAGTTTAATCTCTAATGTTATGCCAGTCTGCCTTGGCAGATGGCCGCTCAAACTGAGCCTGGTTTTGCTGGAAGTTTCTTCTGTTAAAATTGAGTTTTTCCTCTCCACTGTCTCTACAAGCATGCTTGGTGTAAGTGGTTACCTTCGAGTCAATGAGTTGATGCAATCAACTGGTTTTCGTACATTTGAATCGATATGACTGTATGATCTGGTTGAATTGTCTCTATAAGGTGCCTTGAGATTACGTGTTGTGCTACAGAAAAAAATGAATTGAATTAAGGTCATGAAGGTCCAGCTGTACACAATGTTTACCAATGACTGAATTTAGCAAATATTAATAAATCTAATGTTTCTTTATATTCAGTCAGGAATACACAATGCTTTGTTTTTTAACAGTAGTTTATGCATTTGGTCCAACTGTCCAGTACAATTTAAAGCTTTATCTCAACCCTTGTATACTCTATCTAAAGGGCACTGCTAAGAATACCGCCGAACACCAGCTTAAGTATTATTTGGTAAAGTGATTTCTCCATCTTAACATATAAAGCAGTAGGGGTGCAAATATTGGTCACTGATTGCAGTCTCTATGGTTTATATTATCACTGTCTGCATTCCTATGGCTGCATTTTTCAGGGTGCATGACTCTAAAACAGCAAATAGAAGCTTTATAAAGTGAACACAAAGTAATTTAATCACTTTTTTTATCTTATAAAAGTTGAAGTGTAGTGCTTTCAAGTACACCTGCCATGAGTCAACAACTGGCAGGGAAAAGACATTAGATGTTAGCGAAGCTCACAGTGCATCTAATGGCCTTCCTGTTGTGATGAATGAAATGATTGAAAGGAGACCTTCCTCTGTAACTGTGTTAAAGTTAATGAACTGCAAAGCTCTGGGAGCTTTGAGCTGAAGAGGTTTGATCAGTTTCACCTGTTTGACCAGGGGATGTAACAATAGGAAATATGAGAGTCGTGTTGAGGATAAATAGATGGAAGGGTAGTGGTCAGGGTTTTTTTTAGAATGTTTTTGATGTGACCCATTAATATCCTGCTAAGGGTCTGTAACCTTTACAAACAGAAGAGCAAAGTTTGCTGTGATTCCAGCTAAATAAAGCTTGCTTAGTGACAAGTGTTAAATAACTTTAAAATAAATGAAAACTCATGATGAATTATAAAGTGTATATCACAGAGACTCCATTCATTTTAGAGAACCACTATTTTACCCTATTGCATATTTTAAGGAAAAATAAAGAAAACTAAACATGAAAAAACAGGGAGTAATATATGTTCTCTCATGAAATGTTGATAGTTTTAGACAATAATGTAAAAAAAAATTTTTTTTAACCTAATGACAAGAGTTTCCCCTAAAAATATTACATATATTTGCAATTATTCTATTAAAAAAAACAGCAAAACTGACATTTGTTATATCTAAGTTATATTTAAAAATGTTTTGTTAAATCTTAATAATTTTAGCATAAGTTATAAAACCCATTATTAAAGTTCCAAAAAGTGACCTTTGGCTCTGGAGGCCCCTGATCCCTTTCACAATGGCAGCAATCCAATACAATGCCTTCACTCATTCTATTTTATATCCATATATTTTATAGCGATCTATAATGCATAAATCCATCCATCCATTAGATTTACCTGATGCTCTGGATCTCCCGAATGTCTGGATCAGTTGCATTGAGTGAAGCCACGAAGCTGCCAACAGGGATGTTTTCCATCCTTGTGACTATCAACGGGTCTGGGAAAAAGACAGGTCCCTCATTGATGCCCTCGACAGTGACACGGACAGTTGCTGTGGAGCTGGGACCATAGCCGACATCAGGAACCAAAGGATCCTCGTTCTCCACTCTGATGAGAAGTGTGTGGAGCTCAACCGTCTCATAGTCTAGAGGCTGGATAGTACCGATGATTAATGGTAATTCATTTGAATTTAGAAATGCACTGGGTAATTTTATGTACATTATCTTACCTTGACCACTGAGAGCATCCCTTCATTGTTGTCAGGATTTGTTTGGATCTCAAAACTCTGTTTGGGATCTCCACTGATTATGGAGTACATAGCTCTCCATGCCCCCGTGGCCGGGTCGTCTCTGTCATCCACCGTCAGGTTGACTATGACACCCCTTGAGCCTTCATGTACATGAGCCTCAAACTGATACAAGACAAAGAAAACAATCCAGATAAGTAAGACAAAATGAAATGTCATGGTTAAAAAACATGGAACAAAACAAATTCAGCTGGATTTGGAAGATGGCCTTGAAAAAGACACTGGACCTGAAGCTGATTTATATAACTGCAAAATGTTAGAATATTGTAATGTACTTTAAGAAAAAAAAATCTGAATAAATGCATAATTTTTTTATTTAACAAGTTATATGGTAACTGCCTATTTGCATATTGTCAGTGTTGACAATATTGCCACCTTGGAAAAGAAGGCAACTATCCACAGGAGGCTTGTTACCTGGTTTAACAAGCAACATGCTTTGAACCATAGCACGAGGAAAACAAATTAAAACTTGTGCTCTACACACTAAAAGAAGTCCTACTTTCATGGAAAAGTATTCATAAAAAGACTCATTAAACTAGAAAAACCTATTTCTCATCATTAGGGGAGAACATGATTATACTTACACAGTCAAAGATCCATTCAACCTACAAATTCCTCAGCTTATATTGTGAGTATCATGGTGTTCAGGACTTGGGCCAGTTCTCTTTTCTTCTTATAATTAGGCATGCATTTTGCTGCAACTGGGTATGATAAATAATATTTATAATGTTAAGCTAATGTTACCACAGCTATATGCATCTATACATTCTGATAAACCTAATCAGTAAGGCGGACCAAAAACGGGATAATAAAGGGACACAAACACTACTGTTTTATCATGTTTATGAGACTGAAACAGAGGAAAGCCTCTGGACCGGACAGCATCCCCTCAAGGCAGCTGAGGAACTGTGCTGATGAGCTCTGCGAGGTCCTCAGATTCATCTACAACCTGAGCCTCAGCTTGGGGTTGGTCCCCCCCCCTCTGGAAGACCTTTGGTGTGGTACCAGTTCCCAAAAGGCTTCATGCCAAGGAACCAGCCTACTTTAGACCATTCACCCTGACCTGATGAAGACCATGGGGCGCCCCCATGGTGAGCCCCACCCTGGACCTGCTGCAGGTTGCTTACCGACCTGACATCAGAGTGTTGGATACCATCATCTACCTGCTGCAGCGAGCGCTCACCCAGAACACCGAGAGCGCAGTGAGTGCCATGTTCTTTGACTCTTCCAACGCTTTCAACACCATCAGACCAGAGCTGCTGAGGGGGAAGCTGGAGGACGCTGGAACATGAACTACCTCACCAAACGACCTCAGTATGTGCTGCGGCATGGCTGTAAGTCAGGGGTGGCAGTCTGCAGTACCAGGGCCCCCCAGGGCATCGTTCTATCTCTGTTCCTCTTTACCCTTTACACCTTAGACTTCACCTACAACACAGACAGCTGCCAACTCCAGAAGTTCTTGTATGACTCGTCCATTGAAGGCTGTTACAAAGGGGAACAAGCTTGAGTATCGACCAGTCATCATGAACTTTGTGGACTACTGTGAGGAGAACCACCTGTGTCTTAACACCAGTAAGACGAAGGAGATGGTGTTTGACTTCAGGAGAAGACCCCCACCTCATCCCGCCAGTGAACATCCAGGGGCAGGACATAAAAACTGTAGAGTGTTTCAAATCACATCAATAATAAACAGAACTGGACTCATAACACTGACGCCCTGATTAAGAAGGGCCAGAGTCGCCCCTACCTCCTGAGGAGGCTGAGTTCCTTTTAAATGAGCAGGCCCCTGCTTAAAAGCTTCTATAACTCTGTGGTGGCATCAGCCCTCTTCTATGCTGTTGTCTTCTAGGCACCTGGCAGCGCAGACTGGAACAGAAACAGACTGAACAAATTGGTGAGAAAGGCCATTTCTGTTCTTGGCTGCGCCCTGGACTCAGTGGAGGAAGTGGCTGAGAGGAGGGTGCTGTCCAAGCTTACATCCATCATGGACAACACATCTCACCCCCTGCACCAGACTGTAGAGGAGCTGAGCAGCTCCTTTATTGAAAGAGTTTTACAACCTGTTTGTAAAAAGGAGCGCAACCAAAGGTCATTCATCCCCGCTGCCACCAGGCTCTACAATGCGACACTACAACGGCAATAACTTGTGCAATGGATAATGTGCAATTACCATTTATTATCCTGTGCAATTAATTTCTTTATATTTGACACCCAGTGCAATAGCTATATATATGAATATCCATCAATATAAATGCCCATGTAAACACCCTGTGCAATCACCCTGTATAATAATCCTGCTATATAAAAAAAAGTGTCATGCACCTTTTCTTCTTCCTACCTTCTTCTCTTTGTAAATATTTGAGTCAATGTAAAGAGTAAATTTCTCCACTTTGAGATCAATCAAATCAATCAGTTAATCAATCAATCAATCAATCAGTTGAGTTGATGGAAATAAATTTCCACAAATGTTCAGGCCAATAAGGCCTTTTCAGAACAGTGCGGAATGGTGTAGAAGCAAAATCTTACAAATTGTCTCAAATTAAATAAGTATGAAAATGACAAATATCCTTTTATATGGAAAAAAAGACATTGACAGTGAGCATTGAATGTCAGTACCTATAGCAGGTTGTATTATCCTATTCTGATAATCATTGATAACCTCTTCAATCACAGACACACAGAGCTGTGTACCAAGGAAGACTAAATGTTAAATCTTTCATCAGAACCAATTTTTACAAGATATTAGCTTAAGAGTGTGGATAATTTTGAAACCAGGTAAATTCATCCTTATTTTCTAGATGTTTCTTCAATGGAATTGTGCAGGGTGTGAATTTGTATTTGTATTCATTACCTTCTGGCCCAAAACCTGGCTACTTAAGAGGCTTGTGTTGTATCTGTATATCAATGTTATCCTATTTTAAGAAGAGATGGTATTTTCTTTTCTGACCTTCTCATAGAGACTGAATGCCAAACCAAACAGATGGTGGGACAGAGTGGAAAAAGGACATTTCACCATTTCTCCATTAAAACCTCCTCCATTAAAATTGTATATATAATTATTGCTATGAATAATATTTATAGAAACACACAATTAAATAAAGACTTTTCACAGCAATATTGAAGAGCACAGTGCATCTCATTTATTTTTCCAGTGTCAGTCGCTTCACCTCACCTCACTGTTCATTGTTGGAATTGTGGCTAAATCACATTCCTATCGATGCACACTGCCAGTCTCCCACTAAAGACCACATTGTAATCAGGGTTACTACTGCAGAGGCTCCGGGCAGGCGAAAGCAATTCTGTCAGCATGTCTCCACGTGTGTGCGTGTCAGAGCCGCTATTGTGTCAGAGCTTACAGCGTAATCTTTCAGACACAGAACAGCATGTTTAAGGATAGCGTTGGTCCGGCCTAGATTACTGTGTCTCCTGTCAGCCCACAGCATTGTTGTTTCACAGATTACCCTCTTACTGCTTTACACTTCCTTGCTCTGTGCATTTATCTGAAGAGAGACAAACATTGATTTCTCCTTTTCCCTTTCTTTGCCACCGTCCCTATTCATCGAAAGCTTGTTAAAAAAAACTCAGAGCCATTTTCAGTCATTTGGGCCACAAAACACTGAAGGAGTCTCTTAAATTAAAGAGATTGTGTTCATTCCCAAATATGCATTGCTGGGCCTTTTTTTCCGAGTGTCATTCAGGACAAATCGGCATCATAATGTGATTCATAAACGACTATTAGTTAAAATATTAAAAACATATCACATTTTTAAGCACAAAAATGCATACTGTAGCATTTTAAAAAGTACCTATTCCAGTTTTAAAAACCAGGCTTGGACCTAGAAAAGCTTTTGTACACATTTTACAAAGGCAGAAAAATACTTAACATACAATAGTGGGACTCAATGGCCATCCTCTAGACTTCAATAAAACTTCTTTGAGCAATTTCTCACACCTTCAGGGTCAAGCTCTTCCCAACAAACACACACTTACAGAAAAAAATATAGACGGTCAGGCTTGGTTTAATCATGTGGGGCAACCATGCGGATGGAGGAAACCTGCATTCTGCACGATGCAGCCTCTGAGCCCCTGCCCTGGTGCTGATAAGGCCCCAATTCCACCTGGAGCATAAAGTGTCCAGCCAGCTGAAAGACTAGAAGAAAATGACTAACTACTAATGAAAGCACAGCACCTGAAATGGCTTCAACACCCAAAGAAGAGAGAAGAACAAGTTGAAGAAAGCCATGGCTGATTGACATTGTAGGTTTGTTGTGCTTTGAGGCATGATTGAGTTTTGAAAGTTGACTTTTATCTGTATGTTTGCGCTGTTTTCTCTTTAATTACAGCAGTGACTTTTAAACATGTCAAGGAAACATCAAGAACTAATAATAGGGCTTTATAATAACTTCCATGTATTGTATATGAGCCACTTCATTTGTGAATTGTCTGACAACTAACAGGATTCTCTTTACCTGAGCCTAAACCAAACCCTATCAAATTGCTACTTAACCTTTACCCTTTAGAGAAGGTTATGAGATTTAGTATTACTTTCACATTTAGATCCAAATAACAATGACCAACTGAAAAAAAAAGGAATACAGTGGCAACATATCATAGGAGAAAGGAAATTAAGCAAGACTATTTTTTTCCTGTGCCCATGGTGAAAATTACAAGATGGGCTTCTGACCCTCCTGTAATTATGGTTAGAACCCCACAACATGTAAAAAACAACGGCTTATGAGGTATACAGCAAATGTAAATGGAAGTTAATATTGTTCATACATCTACATTGATAGTATTGCAAATACAGTAAGTAATCTAAAGGGGAAAAAAAAAACATACAAATCAGCTTATCAAAATCAAAGGCTTTTGTGACCTATAGTTGACACCTAAGAAATATTTTAAATGATCAGGCCAATAAACATCCCTTGACACTATCAAATCTACAAGCAGAGCTCCCCTCCTGAAATACCAACTATGTAACTTGGAAGAAGACGGAACGTGATTGGCCAGGTCATGTGACCTGAAAAAACATGTATCGCTTTAAGGCCATAGGCTCTTAGGTCGTCATGAAGCCAAGGCTTTTGCTCCACAATTTTCTGCGTGCT